GATAAGTATATTATTTGGATCTAGGATTGAGATAACATTTGACATCATTGCAAATCAAAATAAATTTATTCTTACCTGCAGCCCAGACAAACGTAGTAACAGAAATGATGTAGAATAATGTGGCCAAACCTTGAACTACTGCCATCTGAAAGACGAGACTAAAGTATTTAAGTCAAGTGAATTCTGTTAGGGCTTTAAGTCAAGTGGATTCGTGCTTATGTAAACTGATTTCCTGTATACAGTTTCGAACTTGACRCTCGCAAGGTAGTCTGGGTCGTAAAGTATCAAGCGTAAAATGAAGTTACAGCTCCCACATTCRGTGGTTTATTCAAGGAAGTGTACGTTGTCATTTGAGGGGGGAGGGCTGCCTGTGGGGAAATTCGCAGTAAACTTTTTTTAAATGGTCGTAGCACTCACCCCTTCACTCCGAGTAAGAAATTCATGGCCCTCCTAGAAAGTCAACAAGGAAATGGACACTATAATCTAGCTTAATTGCTCGATTTTTCTTATGGTACAAAATGGTGAGGCTGTTAATAGCTACATTTTAATAAGGTTACCCTATTATGCAACGTTTCTCCTCCTCCTCTCCTCCTCCTCCTCCTCCTCCTCCTTCCTCTTCGTTTTCTTCTTCTGCTTGACTTAAACTTAGTTCAACATCGCTTTGACACGTCGCCGTCCTATGACCCCCCGTCGGTTAATTGTGCTGTATTCAACAGCAATCATTCACTTTCAAACGCATTTTAAATCGAAGTTTGAAGGAAAATGATAAAATTATTATTATTTAGCTTCTTCAAACTCAATGAATCCGTCTCAACCGAAATTTCCATTTTCGATCAAATAGAATATCTTTTGGAAGAATTCTTACTTTCTGCACAAAAAGATGCTCGCCATCATGTCACGACCGTGTTCGTGCCGTGAGCTTTTCACAGTCATACAAACGACAACTAGACAAAATATACTGCTACGAAACATTAGACTTAAATAAAGGGTGCCATTAGCATTTTTTCACATATACATATTTTCATATTCTTTTAACGAGCAACAGCTCCTCAACCATACGTGTTTAAACAAATTAGAGTAATATATCGTATTAAAATTTTCCAATCGATGCTACGTGAGTATACAGTAGTATARAAGGGATTCATGAAGCAAACTTGTCAACCAACACAATTAATATATAAAAGTTTTCATATTTGGGATTTTTTAAATGGAAAAATATTTCATCGTTGACAGATACTCGCGATAACAGGCAACTTAGTTCAAGTCTAACTTTGCTTAAATATTTTATTTAACCACATAAAATTGGCTTTAGTACTTGTGAAGCCTCCATACTTTTGTTCCAACAACTTCCTTCACTGTAATTTGCATATCTGATCAAGCATGATATTGGGACACGGAGATCTGAATGACAGAATCTTGAATAAATAAAAAAGATATAAATGACCCAAAATGAGGGTTACTTGAGTACGAATAATTTACTGGACAACCAGTTTACGAGGTCTTATTGCAAACAAATCAGAATATATATTTCATGGATCAAGGTAAACAATTTCCTTATCGAATATACAYATGACTGCTCTTTCGAATTCTTATTATTAGTTATTTTTATTTATAGACGAGGGAGTATTAGGGGTGGGGAAGGGGCTTAAATTCGCCCTAACCTCTACCCCCTAAGTAAGAATTTGTATGATGACAACATTCATATATTTTACGAAGTGATTTTAGCTGAAAAT